ATCCCTCATTAAGTATTTGAGTAACAAATCCATGAAGATTAATTTTTTTTTTCAAAATTGAGTTCTATCCCACTGGAATAGAGCTAATCAGAGATGAATTTGGGCTTGAAACTTTTAAAATATGGGTCTAAATTTCTCCACGTTTCAGTTTCATCGGTTCAGATTTTTCTCAATAAATATTTCAGTTTTTCTCGTAGCAGGCTTCACCAATGACCTAGATATTTGCATATTTATCTCAACATTACCTTAACACACTTTTCAAAAATTAAGTCATTTAGGAGTTTTCATAAGTGTTATTTTTATGGTGGTTTCTTGACCTTAACGAACAGTGTTGTTTTAATGTGATGCGTAGCATAATTTTAATGGTGCATTGTAACAGAGTCGATGTACGTTTATAAAAGAGCATTTTCGTTGATCATTATATATTTTTTTAGAGAATCCATTTTAAATGAAATATGTTGGTTTACATTTCAGACTTTGCACCTCTGCTTTTTTGTATTTTTAAATTACGATGTACATCTGTGACAATAGCGAGCCAACGTGAAAGCCTCTCTCTGTTGTTTCTTTTGGTGTCTAAAAAGCATGTGAGTCAGGATCTGGAAGACTCATCACGTTCTTCAACACAAGGGAAGTTTAATCGAGACGAGTTTTACAAATTTATCATTTTCCCCGGCAAGTGGATTAAAGTCTGGTACGATCGACTTACCTTGCTGGAGTTACTTGATCGGTAAGCTGCGGAGCGTGCACTCGGAACGACACGTGGGGGGCGTATGGAGCACGTGTGCATGCTTCTGAGCAGAAAGTGGCCACACGCTGAGGTTTTCAGACTGCACCCCTGCTTTGTAGCAATCCTGAAGTCTAAGCAGTAAGACCCTGACAACTTAAATAATTATAATTTAGCAGTTACAATGGCAGGTATGAGAACTGGGTGACATGGTTTGGATTTGAGGCTAGCTTTGGGGACAGTACTGCACTTGGCCTACTCATGTCTTGGCTCATTTCTACAGGAAAGCTTGAAGCTCTGTAGCACAGGGCCTGGCCTGACTGGGTGTGGGCGTGGGGAGAACAGGGCAAGTGAAATGGAGTGATTTCACCTCTTCCCTAGACAACTTGGATTCTGATTTAACTTGGACGTTAATCGTTCCTTTAAACCCTTTCCCTCTGTCTCACCTATCTCACCATTACCTGTCGAGATAAAATGCTGCAGGGGCTGGAGATGTGGTTACTGGCAGGGGACAAGGTAAAGGGGAGGTTGGTTAAGGCGTGATGGACATGGGGCTGGGTAGGGGACTTCCCTGCCTCAAGATGTGCAAAGGACAGTATTATAATCTTCAAGGACTGGGTAGTACTGACTAGATGGTTTTGAAAATTCAAGATGCTGCTACTAATGCTGTGCTAAGCAAATGCTGTTTCATAGCTCAGTGCCAGCGTGGGGTGGGGGGTGGGGAGACTGGTTACCTGCCTTGTTGTCTTGGTCCCCAGAGACTACTTGTTGTGGTGACATATTAAATGGTGTGATCACACATGCAGAAACTATCATCATGCAAAATTACAAGAGTAAATTTCAGGACCCACGAGTCAGGGAATGGAGTTATGATGGTTTTTCTAACAACACTATGCACATACACTTAAGAGGAACATTTAATATTTAACTAATAATCCAAGATAATGCATTCCGTTAGGTGAGGCAAGTTTTTGAATTTTGTGTTTTCTGTTAAAACAAATATTTCTGTGGACTTCCATGTTTCTTATTTTAAAATCTACTTGGAATAAAAAAATTAACTGAGGGGCCGGCCCGGTGGCACACTGGATAGTGCGCCGCTTGGGAAGCGCGGCGGCGCTCCCGCCGAGGGTTCGGATCCCACATACAGACCGGTTCCTGCTCACTGGCTGAGCGAGGCGCGGGAGCAACACCGAGGGTTGCGGTCCCATTGCCAGTCCCCGGTCCAGTACGGGGGCGACACTGAGGGTTGCGATCTGTTGCCGGACACGGAAAAAGACAAAAAAAAGACCAAAAAAAAAAAACTGAAAATCCAACTGAGGTCTTAAAGAGAAGGATAAGGAAGATTTCTGTAGTTTTTTAAAAGTTTATAGGTTTTCGATTTTAATCACCTTTCTTGCAAGTCCCAATGGATTTTTAAATTTTGTGCTTAGGATCATCTAGAGTCGGCCCCAGTCCCTTACCCGTAGACCCCTCAGCTGGTGTGGGGAGCCCCTGGGCTCCAGAGTTGGCTCCTGGAAATCAAATCTAGTCCCCACTGTGATCTTAGGATGGCTGTGAATCCTCTTTGTGCCTCAGTTTCCTGTCTGTTAAATGGGGATAACCAATTCTCAGGGAGGTTGTGAAGATTACATCAATTTAGTTCATACAAAGAGTTCCTAAAATATTAGTCGTCGTTATTATTATGCTAATGATTACATGGAATGTGGCCCAGAACCCAGAAAGAGGAAAAATAAAAAATAAATAAATAAAATCAGGGTAGCTGAAGTAGATGTTGTCAAATGCAGACACTAAAATTCAGACCTGGCATGCACGATAGCCGATAGCCGAGCTGATCACTGCTATAAACTCCCATGGGTTAAAGTCTTCTGCCTGACATCTGTCAACGTGACTCTTGGGTTCGGGCTGTTCTTCCTTAAAAATGCATCCTCAGTCTCCGAACAGTGGCTCGCGGTTCCTACTTGCAGCCTTCCCTGTGTCTTCAGTTCTCTGTGCATCCCGCTCAGCTGTTTTTCAACTTGCTGTCTTCTCCTTGTTTATTTTTCTCTTACTTCCTATTCCATGACTACCCTTCCTGCAGCACACCTTGGTGTTTTCCAGTGTTCTGGGTCAGCAGCAAAAATAAGCCGTTCATCTGTGCATTGTTTCAACATTTCATGCATTCATTCAACCAGTACTTACCCAGGCAGCTCCCCATGCTGGGTTCGGTGCTGGGCACTGGGCACAGAGTGATGTCCAGTCCTGCTGGAGCTTGCATGCCACCGTCATAGGTGCCATGGGGGAAACACGTGACAGCCGAGACGCAGGAGCCTGGGGGATGAGGGACACTGACTGGTGGCTGGGAAAGGCTTTCCTGAGGAGGAAGCATGCAGCCTGAGATATAAAGTCAGAGCAGGAGCTGACCCCATGGCAAGCAGAGAGGAAATCATTCATGCTCCTCAAACTGAACTCGTCATCACAGTTGTCGCCAGAACGTATTATCCTTTAATCTAGGTACACATTTACAGAAAAACAATCCCTCTGCAATTCTGTTGTTTTCATCTGATTATACTTTTTTTTTTTTTTTTTGTCCTTTTTGTGACCCATAAGGGGATCGCAACCCTTGGCTTGGTGTCGCCCGCACCGCGCTCAGCCAGTGAGCGCACCAGCCATCCCTATATAGAATCCGAACCCGTGGCGGGAGCGCCGCTGCACTCCCAGTGCTGCATTCTCCCGAGTGCGCCACAGGGTCGGCCCCTTACATGTCCTCTTGATCCCACACTCTCACCTGCTGCTGGCCCCGTTCTCTGCTCCCCTTTGCAGCAAAGCTCCTGGAAGTGTCTCCTGTGCTTGTTTCCAGTTCCTCTTCTCCCAGCCTCTCGTTGTCGTAGTCAAGCTCCCTGTCCCCAGTGCTCCACTGAACCTGCCCTGCTCCCTGTCACCTTGGCCCCGTCCTTCCTCATGGGTCCACTTGCAGCTTTGACAGCTCCACTCTCCCTTGGTTTTCCTTCTGCCTTGCAGGTCGGGTGGCTCCTTCACAGGAAGGGTGGCTTTTGGGTCCCTCTGCCTCTTCCTGTTGGTGGCGCCGGGTGCTGCACTGCTCTAGGCCCTTGCCTCCTCTACCTTCCCTCTTGTCTTTGGTGATTGTATTCAGTCTGGTGGCTTTAAATACGGTCGATATGCCAGTGACTCTCAGATTTACATCTCCAACTTGGACCCATCTTCTGAACTCTAGTCTTGTGTTTCTATCTCAAGGGGACATCTCATGACCACAGCCCAAAGCTGAGCTCTTTATCTCAACCTTCTGCAAGTAACCTCGCCCTGGGATCTTCCCCATCACAGCAGTGACACCCCCATCCCTCCAGTTTCTCAGGTTAAACATCCTGCAGTCATCCATGAGGCTTCTTTCCTTCCACACCCGCATTCAGTCTCTCGTAGGAAGTCGTGTCCACCGTTCCTTCTAGACGCTTCCACTGCATCATTCCACCTCTGATGTGACCACCCTGCTCTGAGCCATCATCTCATCTCTCTTCGGCGTCACTGCGGTGGCATCTTCCCTTCTTCTGCCCATTCTCCCTGTACACTATTAACACAACAGAGTGCGCCTTTTAAATGTCGCTGCTCTGCTGACCACCCTGCAGAAGCTCCCCCTTCTGCTCAGAGTGAAAGTCGAACTGCTCTCAGTGCCCACAGGCCGGGTGATCCAGCCACTTGTCCCCTGCTACCGTTGCGGGTCCTCTCCGCCCGCGCTGGCCCTTGTGTTCTTCCACGTGCCACGCTCTGCTCCAGCCTGCAGACCTGTGCACCTGCACCCCCGTCTTCCTGGAGTGTCCTCCCAGATCCCCGCGTGGCCAGCCCCTCGCCTTTCTCTCACCTGCTGTCTTCCTTTTTCTGTGGCACGTATCATCCTCACATACTACATGATACCCTTAGTTCTTTTTTTTAATACTTTTTGGCACCACGCGCTAGAAAGGAAGCCTCACCGTTTTGTCCACTGGCAGCCCCTCGCCTTTCTCTCACCTGCTGTCTTCCTTTTTCTGTGGCACGTATCATCCTCACATATTACATGATACCCTTAGTTCTTTTTTTTAATACTTTTTGGCACCACGCGCTAGAAAGGAAGCCTCACCGTTTTGTCCACTGGCAAATCCCAAGCAGCCAGAGCAGCGCCGAGCACTTTCCTTGCATGAGGGAAGGAATGAGTTTGCTTCCCTTGGCAAACTGGCTCCCTTCCCAATTCCTGCCATGGATTCTGCTGCAGCCTTACTCCCTTTCAGCCTCTCATATCCCACCCCGCAGAAGTCCCCACCTCTGAAGTCGTTGTCTGGGTCCCTCTCACCCTTCATATGCCCCTCAGTGTTCCCCACTCGTCTCCACCACGCTGACCCATGGACGTCCTCCTGTCCTCTGCTGCCCCCCTGTCCTGCCTAGGTTCCATGATCCCGACCTTCGGCCCCTTCCTGTCAGTATCCCGAAACTCCCTGCCCTGGCCCTCTGCATCCCCGCCTGCTGACACTTGCCCTCCAGATGAGCCCACTTTTCTGGCCTACATCTCCTACGGAATCCCACCATCACCCACGGAGACCACGTGGTGGTGACACAGCCAGCCCAGCCCCCCACACTGTGGGGAGGGTGCAGTGTCCCCCGAGCTCTCCGGCCAGAGCTCTCCCTGTGTCTGCAACTGGGCAGCAACTCCAGCTCCAGAGAGTGCATCTGGAAACGATTTCCTGCTCTGCCAGGTGTTAATGCACCCCCCCCACCCCAACCCTTCCATTAAAAGGAGCCGGCAAAGCTCTTTATCTGAAACACATTTCATGGTTGTGGATGGAATCGTAGCCGCCTTTTCCCAGTAAATTCAGTTTACTGGCCAAGGAGATCCAATGGGATTCTGTTTCATTTGTTTCAATAACAGAAATCTGGGGTTAAAATATGGGTTTTGTTTATGAAACACAGGAATGGGGAAAGAAAGAAACCTTAAAATCTTGTCAGCAAGTGCAAAGCCTTGCTGAGCATCTGCTGCCGCTGTCGCCTTCTCTTTTGCTGCGTGCAGGTGCTCTCTGTTTAGGAACGGACACGCTCACCTTCTGTTTCCTTTGTTTTGCACAGAACTGAAGACGTCAAGGAGAACGTGCTGGCGATTCTGCTCATTGTCCTGGTTTCCCTGCTCGGGTTCCTGACCCTGAGCCGAGGCTTTTGCAAGGACATGTGGGTGCTCCTGTTCTGCCTGGTCATGGCCAGCTGCCAGTACTCCCTGCTAAAGGCAAGACCCGTCCCGTCCTTAGCAGTAACGTGTGCTCTCACTAATGTAGGCTTGAGATCATGAGGTGATGACACAGACACTTCTGATTTGTGTTCTAGAGCGTCCAGCCTGACCCCGCCTCGCCAATACACGTAAGTCTCGAAATGTAGGGAAGTGGCTTGTCTGGTCTGCCTCTGTTGAAGACAGGGAAGGAAAGGCCAGAACCCACTGAAAAGACAAAGTCTGTGTTTATATCCACATCTGTGTCTGTACCTGTATCTATATCTACGTATTGAATATGAAAATAGAAATATGCATGCACGATGGCCAAGTCGTGGCTATGTTACCGAAACCCCAAAGGTCCATTTGCTTGCCTGCTCAGTAGCCGATAATCGAGAGACAGGTGTTGGTGTAAGGAAAGGTGGCCTTTAATCAGGAGGCTGGCAGCCCGGGGAGATGGTGAACTCATGTCTCAAAGACCATCTCCGCTTTTCCCTTACTTGCCAAAGGTTTCACAGGGACAGGTGGTAGGGGGCCGATTCATGGTGATCTAAGCAGGGACGTGCAGGCGTAATCATGAAATTGCAAATAAGCATCAAAGAGCTTCTCAGGTGGGAGCTGATTCACGGTGACCATCCTCCATGAAGTCAAGTCACAGACTCAGTTCCTGTTAACCTCAAAAAGGTCTAGTTAGTAAGCTAGTAAAGAGTGGCCACCTGGGTTAACAGTTTCTTCTACAATTACGCTGTGTACAGTGTGAGCAAAAGTCTTTATGTTCCAGCCTCATGTGAACAAGGATCATGGTATTCTAATGTCCAGCTGCAAACTATGCAGTTCAGGTTACGCGAGTAAGAAAAAAACCTTTAGTTTAGAACTTTAACAAAATGGAGTCGCTTCTGTTCAGCCTGTTCCAACTAGATCTGAGAGCCAGGTGTGGGTCGCAGTGGGGAGTGTACGGGGTGGGGACAGGGAGTGCGTGGAGGTCTTTCCTATCCTGCCGGGTCCATGTCAGGAAAGACCGAGCAGCTGGGTGGGGAGACTGCAGACTCTGCGGTCAGCCTTTCACCTGTTTCCTGATCCCACCACTTGAATATTTAAAACTGACCAAGATACTGGCCCTCTCCGTGCCTCAGTTTCCCTATGTGTACATAGGCTAATGAAAGTGCCTACAGGGATGGAATAATCCATGGAATGTGCTTACAATAGTCCTGGCACATAGAGGTCGCTCAGTAGATGTAAGCTATTACTGTTAGTAATGTCAGGTAGGTGGGTATGAATCATTATTCTTATTTTTTTTTAATTTATCATATATATTTATGGGGTACAGTGTGATGTTTTGATGTATGTATACATGGTGAAGTGAATAAATCAATCTAATCAACATACCCATCACCTCCCACACTTATCTTTTGCTGATGAGAACATTGGAAGTCTACTTGGCAATTTTCAAGCACGTTATTATCAGCTATAATTTTCAAGTACATTAACTATGGTGGCCTTTCGCCAGCCACTCCCGGGTCCCCTCTCCACCACTCCCCTTCTCCTGGTAACCAGCATTCTACTCTCTGCTTCGATGAGGTCGACTTTTTTAGATTCTGCCTATGAGGGAACTTCAAAACATTCGTGGAAACATAGAATTAAAAGATAGTATGAATCTTTCCACGGACTTTTTGGAGTGCCCTTGAATATACTATATTTTCTTCATTCATTCATCTGCTGACGGACGCTTAGTTTGGTTCCATCTCTTGCCATTGTGAGTAGAGCTGCAGTGAACATGGGAGTGCAGGTGTCTCTTCAACATACGGATTTTACAGCCTTTGGGATGTACACCCAGCAGTGGGCTTGCTGGATCTCATGGTAGTTCTATTTTTATTTTTCAAGAAAACTCCATCGTGCTTTCAATAGTGGCTGTACTAGTTTACCTTCCCACCAGCAGTGTAGAGGGCTCCCTTTTCTCTGCATCCTCTCCTTTTGTCTTTTTGATAAATGCCAGGTGTGAGGTGATGACACCTGTGGTTTTAATTTGCATTTCCCTGAATCATTATTCCTTTTACATGAAGTGGACCTCTTTTTTTGCCACATTTGCAAATAATATTGTTACCTTTCCTCCCTGTAACTTTGGGCTCATTCATAGCTGGGACTCTGAAATCCCCGATGCAGATGTACTGGTGCTCTGGCATTCCTGGACAAGCTCTGAAGCACACACAGTTTCCTCTGACCCCACCGCCCCCTCCCCTCATGTGTGGTGGCCTGTGGGTGCTGTGGGGCAGGCACTGCACCTGCAGGCACCCTGGCCATGTGCCTTTGCACTGAGTGTCCTGCCAGATGCACTCCCCAGCCCTTGGAGTAAACTTCTCCCCTCTGTTGAGGCAAGCTCCTGTGGGCCCCTGAAAAGCCCTTCCAGTGAAAGGAACTTGGACTGTGACATTATGCACTGTGCACCCTGAATTCAGCACGATTTGCTTTTAAAAAATTCATGTCCAGGATTTAGGACTGATTTTAAGTCTGTGATAGCTCATGTTTAGCTCATGGCAATTAAGGAAAGCTTATAATTGGACAGTCACGTGGTGTGCATTGCTATCTTGTTATTCCTCTGTTCTGTATAATTGGCTTACGTGTGATACATCTTTGATCCTAGAGTCTGAATGTCATGAAAAGTGGAAGCAGCATAATGAGGGTATTTAGATGTATTGTTGTGATTATGGTCAGAAGTCTGGGCGGGTGGGGGAGAGAGGCATGCAGCTCTCAAGGTTTTTGTTCCGTCCCACCCCAGGTGCCACATCACTGTCCTCCCGTTTGGGTGAACTCTCCTTTCTCATAACCGTACTTCAGAGTGGCTGTTTTTCTGGGTGACTTGGGAGAGGGGTGTTGTATGCTGTTCCACACTCCTTTCCTGAGCATACTTTCAGATATCACGCAGAACATTCCAGTAAGGAGTCTGCCAAGTGCAGCTGTGTTACCCTGTGGGTTTGGAAGGCCCGTTGCTGTGACCCCTCTGCCTCTGCTCTAAGCTGGAGTCTGCCGTCGTGTTCCTACAGGAGTAGATGAGACCGCCATTCTTCCATCTCAGCGAGTGTGTCATGTGAGATGGTAAAAAGCAACTTTGCTGACTGTCCTGTGTAGCCAGACATCTAACGACATGTATCGCTGTCGTTAATTCGCTTACACAGATTTCTAAGTCAATTCAGCCCTGATCTGAGTTGGCATCTCTCTCTCCAGTAGTTCTAATGAAGAAAGAAAACATGGTAGCTATAAAGCATTTCCTCCTGCAATCTGACTGACCACGTGGGTATCTAGAAGGCGGATTTATCATCTCCAATTAATAGATGAGAAACTTCAGAAAGGAGACGGTCCAGAGAGTGGACCAAGGTTTGGGGCACAGAGACGGTTCTCGAGCCTGCGGCCGTCTCCAGCCCAGGCTGATTTTCGTTCGTGAGATGCTGTCGAGGAAACCAGACTGCTTTGCAAACTACACTACTTTGTGCATGTCTGGGGAGGTGGTTTTTAATAAATTCAGCCACTTCTCTCTCTTAGAGTGACTGACTGCCTTCTCTGCTTCCTTCCAGGAGTACAGGTGGAAAATTTTCAGCAAGTTGTTAAAACTAGAAGATAGTGAGATGAAAATGAAATTTTTCTACAACACTTTGCATAGTTCAGTTTTAAATGCAGAATTATTATTAATTATTAATTATTAATAATTATTAATGACACACTCATAGATAGGGCACAGTACCCCTGGGGCCTGAAAGAAGTTGATCTAGTTCTAAAAGAAAACAGGTCTGGGAGAGCTTGGAAAGACTGGGGCTTGGCGTGGATGCCGGATGCAGGGTAGTAATGGGGTCAGGAGATTAATTTGCTTACACAGATTTACACACAGGTCTAACCGACAGTAACCACTAGGGATAACCCAGAAAGCAAATTCAGTAGAATGTCTGAGCAGCAGCAGAAAGCTGGAGCGTGCGTGGGGCTCACCTATGCAAGCCAGAGTCGGATGTGGCTTCCCCCACGGCTGGGGCAATACCAGGATCTGCATGTCACACCCCCGGGTGATCATGGTGGGGGTGATCTCAGGTCACAGTTTTAGAAACACTGTACCCCAGATGCAGACGCATTCGGGGTTCGAGTCTGAATCCAGCCTTACCACGTACAAGCTGTGAGGTCCTGGGAAGCTTACTTCTCTGAATCTTAGGATTTTCATCTGTAAAAGAGGAATAATAAAACAGCATTGTAAGGGGATGAAACGCGATAATGTACCTTGAGCGTTTAGCATGGTATCTGGCCTGAAGAAACTCTGGGAAGCTTACTTCTCTGAATCTTAGGATTTTCATCTGTAAAAGAGGAATAATAAAACAGGATTGTAAGGGGATGAAACGAGATAATGTACCTTGAGCGTTTAGCATGGTATCTGGCCCTGAGAAACAAAGGGGATGAAACGAGATAATGTACCTTGAGCGTTTAGCATGGTATCTGGCCCTGAGAAACATGTAGCAAATGTTACCAATTTTTTGTGTGTGTGCAAAATGTGGATAACGACAGCCTCAGCTGGATTTAGTAAAGAGGCACTGGACAGTACATGCGATGTGCCCAGTGCAGGTCCTAGGGTGTCCTGGGTCCTCTGTGGGTGTCTCGTCCCCTTCCTCCTTCCACTCTGCACACTTGTCCTGATGTCCTGCTTACGGCCCCAACTCCAGAGAGCACAGGCTGTAGCCTGTTACCTGTTCTGTTCAATGAACTGTTGCTGCTACTAAGTGAAAACACTTGGTTACCCATTCAGGTTACACAGAAATCACTGGGAATGATTTTTTTAAATATACTTTTTAGTTTCAGATTTACAGAAAAATCGGGAAGATGGTACAGATTCCCCATATACCCCCCATCCAGTTTCCCAGTATCAATCTCTTACCTTAGGCACATTATGCTACATAGGTTACACTTAAAGGACCAATATTGACACATTATCATTAACTAAAGTCCACATTTTACTCGGATTTCCTTAGTTTTTGCCTATTGTCCCTTTTCTGTTTGAGGATCCCATCAAGGACACCACGTCGCATTTAGCTATCATGTCTCCCGAGGCTCCTCGTGGCTGTGACCATTTCTCAGACTTTCCTTAGGCCTGAAAAAAATTTGTCTGATTCTAAAAGAAAACAGGTCTGGGAGAGCTCAGAAAACTGGGGATTTGAGGCTACTGGAAGAAATCTAAGAATCAGAGACTGGCAGTGTAGTGGTTTTTGACGACCTTGCAGCTTTGAGGAGGGACAGGTCAGGTGTTTTGTAGACTCTCTCTCTGTTGCTGAGATGTGTATGTTGTGATTAGACTGGGGTTATGGATTTTTAAGAGGAAAGCCCCAGAGGTACGGCGTCATGTTGAGCACATGATCTCAAGGGTGCTTATTATCAAACTGACTTACCGCTGTCCATGTTGACCTGCAACATCTGGCTAAGGAAGTGTTTACCACAGGAATAATTTTAATGGCGTAAAATAATTTCTCAGTCCTCAGTGCTAGAAATAAGGTCAACTTCGTTCTAGTGGATCTTCATTAAAAGTCAAATAATATTTAATCGTGTATTCGCTTTTCTTAAAAAGTACTGTTTGAAGCAGGAGCCATTCCAAATTGCCTTCTTTTAATTCTCGTGTATTAAATTTCTACCATTAAATCGGGGCAGAACGTAGGTCGCCTTTCTTTCTAGTGTCTTTCACTGCTTTTGAGGGCAGCGTGGGGAAGTGGGAGAATCTGTGCAGGAGGAGGTAGCGAGATGGACATCATTCAACGCACACTTCCTGCATCTGCGGTCCCCGTGGTCGGAGCCACTTGCCAAGGTTCGCAGACCTGAAAGTTAGGACATCAGAGCTGAGATTAATAGTTCTGCAGAATGAAATTATAAGCTAAGCTTTGAGAATCTTAGTTTCCTATGTCCTTTCAAAGTGAGGTTGCTGAGGTCGTTACTTAATAGTAACCTGTGGAGAAGTATTTGACCTTGGGTCGCTGCTTACCTTCTATGCTGTTTTCTCTAAACTATTTTGGATTCTCTGTACACACCAAGTGTGGTTCCTAGAACACTTGCTGTCTAGGGTCGCAGAGGAGGGGTTGAGCTTTCTGTAGGGTGGAGGGCGTCCATCCCCATCTGTCCTGTGTTTGCCCCACATGCGAGGGGAACTTGAGTGCATCTTATAAACGTCCAGGGTGACTCTCAATGAGCAGGTGAACTGCCGAGGCGAAGATGGAAAAGAAACCATCAATGGTCACCAAGAAGTGCTGTTTAAGTGGAGTATCTAGGCCACCCTAAGAAACTATAAAACGGAGCAGCGACCCTTACTGCTGTGCCGAGCGCTCGGTGTGGGTGGACATAATGTCACACTCCAGCAGCAGCAGGGTGGGCAGAACAGCGGGGCTCCCACACCTCTGCAGGTGGGAGCCCTCTTCTCCACCCACAGTCCTTTCGGGAAAAGCCGACACCCCAAAGCTGTTACGAATGTTTTCCCCACTCTCTGTATTTGCTTCCTGTAACATCCACGTTCTGTGTTTACAGGGTGATGATCATGAATGAAGTTTAGTTAAGTCAGGTGGAGTCCTCGGGCCCAAAAAAGCCCACACCCCCTGGCAGTTGTGGGCACCAGACAGCATCGCATGTGGGTGGGGGCACCAAGGCCAGGCGGCTGGGGACCAAATCCTCGCTCTGCCACGCTGTTTTCTGTCTGTGAGGCCTGGGGCCATTTCTTTATACCTGTGCCTCAGTTTACTCTAGTCAAAATGAGAATAGTCTGTGCTTCACAGGGAGTTCTGAGGATTAGCCACGTGAACACAGTTGAAGCAGGTGGAGCCATGTGTGCCTGGGACGCGGGAAAGGCCGGGTACACGTTCGCTGTTGTCACTGCTCTTGTTCACCTTTGAATGTGGCTGGGACAGGGACATGTGTAATGCATGGGATGAGGTGGCTCCTGCCCTGAGGACAGCAGCCTGGAGCTGGGCTTGTGGGGAGCTGAGGTGAGGTGGAGACAGCCTGGCCTGGCTGGGGACAGTCCCCGGTCCAGTCCCCTCTAAGGCCCAGCTGCACTCAGCCCTGGGTCCTCTAAGATTCAATCACATACCGAGCTGAGGTGAGGTGGAGACAGCCTGGCCTGGCTGGGGACAGTCCCCGGTCCAGTCCCCTCCAAGGCCCAGCTGCACTCAGCCCTGGGTCCTCTAAGATTCAATCACATACTCCATATTCCTTCCCCAAGAACAGCCTTTTCTTCTCAACTACAACAACCAAATGTCGGCAGCATTCGACATCCCACTCTGTGTCCAAGAGGATAGTTAGGACAGCCTTGTCACTTGGCCCCATGAACGGCTGCCCTCCACAGGTGGGGCTCTTGGACCCGACCTTGGGTCTTCTCCTCTTGCTCTTGCACAGCACCGTGACCAGTGCGTGGGTCACGCAGGGGTGTGTGGGGTGGAGCTGACAGAAACCCCAGCACGCACAGGTCAGCTTTTGTGCAATGGCCTCACAAACCGCTCTAAGGCTGAAATCGGCCATGCGCCCCACGCTGGAATCTAAGATTAAAAAACAGGTGCGGAATGACTGAGTCGGATGAGTTTTTAAGGCATTATGATCAGACTTCACTTGGTGGGGCGAGTGGAATTTTTCTATTGCAAAAATTAAAAAAGTCAATCCTTGAGAGTTTAACGATGGATTCACGTGTGGAAGTGGGAACGGCAGACAAGCGGCATTTCATTAGCAGGTGTTAGGAATCGAGGAAAATAAAAGTGACTTATAGGCCATGTATCGCAGAAATGCTCAGGAGGGCTTGGGGACCCCGAGCATAGGATGGGAGATGATGGAGTGTGGTCACAGCCACGAGGCAGGTGCTCTCCATGGGCGCCTTCGGTTTTGTTTCGTAAATTACAAAATACTAAGAAAGGATTCTCATCTCCAATATAACATGACTCGGAAGACCCAAGGTGATCTTACAAACGTTCAAGGCCAAAGACTTTCAGTTCCTAGATAATGTATTTTTAGCCTTTTAGTAAATGGAAGAGTCAGAGCACGTGGAAAGTAGCTATTTAATTACATTTCCTAAACTGCGTCCGCCTGAGGCAATGTCCCGTGTGCACGTGTATTTGTACACCGCATAGCTGTTCATACAAACAAATTTATTTTGCTCCTCACTTGATGAGAAATGCACTTAAATTTAACGTAGGCTTAAGTTTCAAACTTCTTTAAAATGCAGAGAAAGTCTTCCTGTTCTTTCCATTCCCATGAGCTAGTTGGATATCAAAGGAAATTTCATGAGAGTAGATATTCTTCAGGACTGAGCCTGGTCTCAGGCCCACACACAGCAGCCTCCAAGGGCAGACTGTTTTCCTTCCTATTAAAAGATGGCCTCAGAATAGGACTATTTCTATGATAGCAGCAGTGGCAATTTAAATTGCATTTCTAAATATAGCACGCTCAAGGCAGTGACTTTAAAAATTCACATCGGAAACCCTATCAATTTAATCTTTGGTTTTTACGCTCAAGATAGTTCATGAATTGTAAAGAATACTTCCCCCTGTTCATTTTCACTGGTTTTGTGAATCTTATGAATTGTGCATTGATTTGTGAGATATAAATTCTTTGTTGGCTTTTGCCCTGGAAAGTTGATGTTGTATATTTTCCTTAATTATTCTATCTGTTTAAGGAGAATAAAAATGTTTCTATTTCTCCTCATAACCATGTTTTGAAGGCTAAGATGGGGTCTGCTAAGTATCTGGTTCTCCTCAGAGGAGAGTGCTGTATAAATAGTATGAATCGCAATTTTGGTTTAAAGAATTGGATTATTCCACAGTGCTACATTAAGACCTTTTATGCGACCTCTGCAGGTCTAGCTTTGTACCTGTATTGTCCTGCTTTCTAAGACACTAGAGAATTGAAGCCAACAACTTACAATTCTATTTCTTATTAATAGTGGGACCCAAGTTAGACCATGTAGAGAAAATGATGGTTTAAATCAGTTTTGCACTTGAAATGAACAAGACAGATGGAAGCTTCACTGTTGGAGAAGGCACTGAATTAGATCTAGACTTTCTCCTAGGATGGTAATCAACTTTTCATGTAG